AAACGGAAACGGTGGTGTGTTGAACACCCTGTTCTGATGACGCAAGAGTTGCAACTATGGAAGCTGAGAAGGCCATTCTTTCTGTTCTTTTTGAAGAATTTTCGGAGCCTGATGAAATCAGTATAATTACGTGTTTAACACTGCAATATACGCTCGATGTTACAGTCACTGCCCTTGCCCTCCAGAATAAAAGAGAACATCCCAATCAAATGAAGGGATTTGTGGAAACTGTGGTTCCTAATTATTGTGATCCAACATTTGCCTCGCATTTCAGCATGAAGAGACAAACATTTCAGGTGAAGGATAATCCACTTCTTACCTCCAAGACTGTGTTATGATCTATAGGACAGTATTATTTTTATATAGTATTCGGCTTATCGGCTTATCATTATTGCTGATCACGGTTGTTGTGCTATGATACTGTAATATTTAGCATTATAATAATCGGAGGAGTATAGAAAGGGTTATGAAAGTGTCACTCCACAATGCAATAGCAAAATATATAAATATGTATAGTATTTTTATGTTACATTAATCAGTGTCTAGCGCACCTTCCTAGGGAAAGGATATGGACCAGAAGACATTACAATTACTAAATGATATTTAGACAGACTTAAAGAAGTTCCAGATCTATACATGTGCTCTTATTATTTCAGTTATTTTGCCTTTAATGTAAATAAACATGTGCAAACAATATACTTGCTTTTGTAAATTTATTTGGATGTTAATTACATTGTGCAAGCTGTCTCTTTAATATCGGGTGGTTTATATGCTGCTGCTGATTGGGCTGACATGTTTGACACACCCACCAAACAAGAGAAAACGCATCTCAAACCCCGTTGCACACCGTTTCCAGGAAACACATGTCTTTCAACCCGGAAACCGTAGCAAAACGGTGCACACCGTTTGAGCTTGAACTTGCCCCAGGCCTTAATCTTCCAGAGGCACTGAAGGGAACAATCAGATTTAGGATGGGACAAATGCCCCTGTGACTCCACCCCCAGACCCAGCTGTACTAACAGTGTCAGCATTACCGCGGGATAGGGGTGCTGGGGATGCTGCAGCACCCCCTGGAATGTAGCCCACGAAAAAATGGGGGTGCTGGGGGTGCGGTGTTAAAAATAAATAAAAGAACAATATGTAATAAAAAATAAATAATATTAATTTTATTAATTAGTATTTTAATTGAAATTCATTGAAAAAAGTAGCCTAAGCCTACAATGACAAGAAGCAACGGTTAAATACGAGTTAAGTTAAATCAAATTGACTGTGAAAGTCGTTTCAAATGATTAAACTTATTAAACTGACTTTAAAAAATCATTTGTTGCCATGATTTATGGATTATATTATAACCTGTAACATGTCTCTGCCGTTCCCAAATTAAGAATTAACTACAATTTCTACAGACAGCAGAGAAAGAGCGAGAGCGTCTACCTCAGCATCAACTAATCTCGCATTCTCACATCTGTAGTGCTTATTCTGATCTTTAACGTTAGGTCTTTCCTATTCTTGAAACAAAATTAATGCTTAAGGTTGATTCGATATTACTCTTAATGAAAAACACACACACATACACAACATCAACAATGCTACAATGACAAAGTCGTTTATAACATAAAACTTTTATGAACATATAAGAACAAATAAGATCAGTGGTGTAGCGTCTGTCTATGCAGGGTATGCAGGTGCATATGGGCCCGGGCAGTTTGGGGGCAACGAGGGAACGAATAGAGCCCTGCATGGGCCCCGCCCTTGTCCAACAGCTTTTTGAGAATTCTCGGCCCGAGTTCGACTGGATCCCATGACTTTTCTCTCTCTCTCTCTTCCCCATTGCACAGCTATTAAAATAGTTCAGTTTTGTTTTTTAATGGCAAAGTGGTCATATTTATTTTTGTTTCTTTAAGTTAATTTAAAAATATGTTTTATTTACATAAAGTTTTATGTTTGTTAAATTCAAGTTTTAGTTTTTTAAAGGAACGACTAAGCGGCAGCGGCAGACAGTGAATTGAGCATTATGTTTGATCAATTTAGTCTTCTCAAACCAACAGGACTTGCCTAAAATAAACACATAAAACACTTCATGCATTTAACAGTATTAATTTAAACATTTAACCAAGATAAACGAGCGCTGTTAGGCGCAAATCCAATCGTTTGCGCGGAGAGTGGAAGCTGAAGCGCGCTCTGCAGGACATGGAGGCGCCAGCGCGATCACTTGCTTTTTATTTTTAATAACAGCGGAAACTTAAAAATACACCGTCATTTTTGCTCATAAAGGTAATAGTATACATCATTCGGAATGGCAAAGGGTCTACTTGTATTTGTGCACACTCACAATAATCAACAAAATCTTGTGCTTTTGTAAAATAAGGAAAACAAATAGAATGCGCTTTCTGTTGTCTTGGTCTTGCGCAGGAGCACTTCACCGACATGATACATAGATCTATAGGCAAGGCAAGGCAAGTTTATTTGTATAGCACATTTCATACACAATGGTAATTCAAAGTGCTTTACATAAAAGAAAAGAAAAACAATAATCACAACAATAAATCAAGGAATTTAAAAACTTTGAAAATTATTTAAAAAAAAATTGATTTAAGAGGTTTAAAATGAATTTAAGAAAACGATTATACATAAAATACAGTGCAATCAGTTCGGACATCGCACAGTGCTCATTCAATAAATGCACAGCTAAACAGGTGAGTTTTGAGTCTGCATTTAAATGTGACTAATGTTTTAGCACATCTGATCTCTTCTGGAAGCTGAACTGCGGGTCCAACTGCGGGTGGCATGATAACTAAAAGCACATTCCCCTTGTTTTGTGTGAACCCTCGGTATTTCTAACTGACTCGATCCTAATATAAAATGCTTTAAATTACTATTTTAAAACGAAATAATTCAAATCGAAAACAAAAACTCTTTCATTATGTAATCCCTAAAGATGCATTTCTCTCTAGAGGCACGTCCAATGAGGATGGCTAGTCAACATTGACTCAGAAAACATTAGTTTATTAACAAATAATTCAAATATCCCCTCACTATTTTTTTGCTTTTTTTGTTTGTTTTTTATTTTATTTTTGTTTGTTTGTTTGTTTTTTGGGCTGATGTGCCAAAATTGTGTTTGCATTCTATAGCCTATATGTGTTATGGGGCTGAGGAGACGCGCGGATCCATGTGCAAAGCTTTATTAAGCAGAGATGTCAGAAACACAGGCAGGGTCAAACAAGGGCAAACAGGTATATGGCGGGCAAGACACAAGAATAATCCTAGGGCTAGCGAAGGTCATCAAACGGCGAACACAATCAAAAAGGGACAAGACTAAAGGGATAAATCCAGGAAGACAGGCAAAGATCAGAACTGAGAAAACTGACAAGGCAAGGCAAAACAAGGAAACAAAACTAGCAGGCTAAGTAATACTCGGCAGTGAATGGTAGTTTGAGTGAGTGATATATAGTGAGTGAGTGATGTGAAACAGCTGTGTGCAATCAGTGAAAACAGCTATGTGCAATCCTGCTGAGTGCAATCAGTGCAATGAATGATGGGATATGTAGTCCGGGATGATGTGCAACAGTGTGTAGTGCGAGAGTCAATGAAATTGGAAAGGGTGACCTCTGATGGCTAGCAGATGGAAGTTCATGGACCGGATTCGTGACAATATGGCAGCATTTTTGTTCCACGTTTAAAAAGAACTAAATAAATAAGATTAACGTCATAATATTTTAAGAATAAAGTTAAAATTACGATAATAAAATCATGTTATATAATGTGAAAATTCCACCCATAGGCCTACTCCTCCAAAGAAAAAAAAAAGTCTGTGAATATGCATTCAAATATTTATTATTGGGTGGCTTGCATGCTACAAATAATGAATGGACTTGAAAACTTTAAACAACATTTCCAAGCATTAGCCTATAGCCTACCCTAAATAAAACAGCCTGTGAACAGTCACGATTCACGCAACTTTATTTACTTTTGAAAAATCAACAATAGGAACTAAGTTAAGTTAACTGAGTTGGAGCCCTTAACGTTTCGGGAGGGCCCGTACACATTTTTTGCATATGGGCCCGGGGCTGACTTGCTATGCCACTGAATAAGACCGATGTTCCCGCGTTGTAACACAAATAAACATAAGGTTTTTGGATTTTCCCCTTACTTTAAATGCATGCTTATGGCTCATTATTATTAATCGGAAAAAAAACTAAAAACTTTTAACTTTTATTAACAAAATAAATAAGGATATGTTTTACTGGCGTTTAACACAAATAAATAGGCTATGGATTTCCCCTCAGGCTACCTTAAAACCATCGTAGTTTGTGGTTTATTATCTTATTAATTAAAACACATCAGCCATAAAATAGTACAATGGCAAATTCGCATATATTAAACATCTAGCTTGCATTGACAAAATGAATAAGATGGATATAGGCCTAGCCGTTGTAACCCGAATAAACAAGGTATTTAAAACGAATGCTTAGTTTGTGGTTCATTGTTATTTTTTTAATGAAAACCCAGCAACAAAGACACTCACTTATAGGCTATTAAACGAATAAATGAACGTTTTATTAACAAAAGTTGCGCTTTGGATCCGCCATCACTCTTGTCACGTGACCTCCCGCCACACATTTTATTTATCAGCCCCCCCCAGCTCTAAATACGTTCCTATGAGTGTCAGCTAACTAAAATAACACGTCAGAAAATATGAATCCCAAGCTACTTTTGTGTCTGTGCTGCTGTTCTTCATTACATTTACAGAACTGGTCTATTGCAGAAAATCAACAAAATTATTTGAGACCTTTAATCTGTCTCTGTATTTTGATTATTGATTATTAAAATAACTAGATAACTTTAATTAAACATAATTTTCCTGTCTGATTTTTGTTCATATATGTAAACAATAATCAATAATAAATGTAAAGAGAGAGGAGTTAAGATCACTGTCATGAGACTCAATGATGCTGCAAAAAACACTTAATCATCTATTAATTGTTTTTTCATGTGTTCAGCTCGTCTGCCTGTTCCTGTCATCAGCAGTAACTCTACACACTGTTCTTCATCATCATCATCATCATATTGTTCATTGGTGTGTTCAGTGGTGAATGTGGGTCATGTGACTCTCTCCTGGTACAAAGGAAACAGTTTATTGTCCAGCATCAGTGTGTCTGATCTCAGCATCAGTCTCTCTCTACCTCTGGAGGTGGGATATCAGGATAACAACACCTACAGCTGTGTGCTCAACAATCCCATCAGCAACCAGACCACACATCTGGACATCAGTCAACTCTGTCACACATGTGCAGGTACAGCAGCACTTGTGCATGTATTCACTGAATTAATTTCTTGATTTTACCAAGAGAACTTAAGGTGCCAGAAATTATGAAGGCTGAGTTTTATACATATTTTTTATGTTCTGTGGAGCACAAAAGGACATACTATTTTATTAATGCAAGAGAAGATTATAGAGTTGACATATTTAAAAAAAAAATGTTTTGTACATAATACAAAAGCAGCAACAATACACATTATGTCAACTGAAAACAAAGAAGTATCAGCAATCTGCAACGGAGGAAAAGTAGGAAAAGATAGAAGATAAAACATAAGAACTTTTAACCATCAATTACAGTATATACAAATTAAAATAGTTCTACTTGCTTTCTTTATTGACAATAAAACGGTGTTTAGATAATTTATAAGTCTTTCAAAAAGAAAAGAAAAGAAAAGATGAGAAATAAATAGAATAGAATAGAATAGAATAGAATAGAATAGAATAGAATAGAATAGAAAATGTGGTTTGTTGTTGGCCAACTTACATTTGTAGAAATACAATTTTCAAAGAAAATAAATTATGTTTATAACAAAACAAGCATTGTTTTTAGTGGCGACAGATTCATAATGTCCTAAAATATTGTCTTTAAAAGTTATGGATACATCTTGCTGAATAATAAATGCAGAGACCATATTTTTTTCCCCCAGTTCAGATTTTTATATCAGTTATTCCAGTAAAAGAATAATTTACAGGTGACAAAAAAAATTATTAAAAAGTGATCTAACTTCATACTTTCTATCTTTTTAACAGAAACACATATTTGATCTGTAGTGGTCTCTATTGGAAATAAAGCATTTTTTAAAGTGGAGAGTAACTGCTATTTGCCTCTTCGCTCATTTTTGACTGAAACATTTTATATTTTGAAATTGTAAAAATCGTAGCTTCATCAGAACGATTTTTTTTGAATATGTGAAATAAAATTAATAAATGCAAAAAAAATTCAAAAGAGTCTCTCTCTCTCTTCCAGTGTGCGAGAGACACTGAATAACTATCGGCTGCATGCGCAGCAATGCGTCAAATAATTACAGTTTGTATGTACATAGTTACAATTATATTTATTTATGATTATTCAGATTTCCCCCTCTTTTTCTTCAAATTACTGTTTGATAATTATTGTGTTTGTTCTTATTTTAGCCTAACAGTTGATATCTGAGTAACAAAACTTCCCATGTGTTCTCTTTCTAACTAAATATTAATATTTATATTGTAATCATAATGCAAAACCTGATATTTATCTAACCAAAAATATCTAAACCTTGACAAAAAGTAGTCTTTTAGAATATCTATACCTATATATCTAAATGTAAAACCTAATAAAATGAAGAAATTATGTCTAAAAAACAATTGGAATCAAAAATCTCTGTATATACTGTGTTTATAGGGAGCTATACAGGAGGTTACACCACATTACACAAGTTTTTATTTTTTAATGAAACCTGATGACACAATTCTCACTTCAAAAAATGGATTTTAAATGCTTTCATTCTGTTTTAATGTGAAATATTGCATTTATTGAAAATTAATAAATAATTAAATAACTAAAAATACATTAATTCTAATAGAAAAAATAGCTTAATAAAATTTTATAAATATTGCATAGTATCATAAAATCCCCTCAAAATTCTAAATAATAATCAGAAAATATTATTAAACAAAAATGTATTACTTTGATTTTCCTGAAAAAAAAAGTAACATTTCAAGGCTTCGGTCACTTCTGACAGCGAGTGAGGCGAGTGTGACTCCTAAACCAAGAGGCCCAGAGGGTTAAAAACACACTGATTCCTGATGGAATGAAAAGATGAATTTATATAGCTATATTTTTACTTCTGATTTTCTATTCTTGTAATTCTGATGTGAGACCATCTGTGTCAACAGATTTATTTGATTTGAAAGATTGAATTGCGTCTACAGTTTCTTTTAAAGTAATGTGAGCATCACAAAAAGCTTGATCAGTATTACTCAGTGTTTATGGAAGATAATGATTCGAGAAAAAAAATCAAGAGCATGTTTGTTAAATTTAAGTGAATACATTTTAAGTGAATAAATCATTATACAATTTGACACATAAATTAGCAATGATTTTCTGGTTTTCAAATCTAAGCTTTCCAATCAGATATCAGATATATATATATATATATATTTTTTTTTTAAGAATTTTGCTCACTACTTCCATCCAACTTGAACAAATACTCCTAATATATTTTGATAATGGGCAAGTTCAAGCTTTTTAGCATCAGATAACACTGATTTAAATAGAAGATCTGAAATGTTGCATATTATTAAACTGTCATCATTTCTTTCTATTTTTCAACAATTTACTGCTAAATGTTTGTATAAATTTACAGATTTCACATTATTTGCTAACTCCCAATTACAGCAACATTTCCTTATTTGCTTTTTCCCCCAATAATTGCAAATAATAACATTTATTTTCCCCTTACTTCATTATAATTAAGCAATGAAACATTAATTTTCAACAGCAGTTCTATGCAGATGAACAGTATCTGAAAAAGAAATGAATCTAGAGATGCGTTTGTGATCAGAAAGTGCTGCTGGAATAATGTCAGAAATAGTATGATTTCAATCTCTAGAGATAGACAACACATCGATACGAGACTGGATTGAGAGAGAACTATTGTACCATGTAAAAAAATAAAAATACATAAAAAGATGTCATCTGCAGAAAATCATTCAATGCAGATTTAATTGATCAGGTGACTTTGGAGGCCATCTGCTAAAGCCACATTCAAAAAGAATTGGAGTATTTGGTTAGTAATATCAAGATGTGTTCTTCCACTTGCTCAGTAAGTTTTTTCTTCTCTTTCTGTTGATTAAAACCATAAATATGAACAATAACACACATTAAATTAGAGATTTATGTTACAAGGCCCATCTGGGTCGCTATCAGAGAATACAATCTTCAATCTTCACATTAAGATGATTTTGAAGGATGCAGACACCAGATGAGGTACTTGCTCCATGAGCCAGCCATCAAACTAAACCCACTTCATTTATTGTTGTTTTTTCAGAGGTTCACGTCAGTAGCTGTGATACTATCGAGCCTGTGATCCGATTGGTCGTCACTGCTCTGATGGGCGTGGCTGCTGCAGCTGCTGCTGTTCTTCTGGTCAATGACGTCAGATCAACAAGAGGTTGAAAGAAAACAGAACAGATTAATGATATTGTGATATATATTGGAGTTTTAATGATATTGTGATATATATTGAAGTTTTAATGATATTGTGACAAATATTGGAGTTTTAATCGTACAGATGAAAATATGTGTGGTCCAGTTGTTTAGTGATGGCCAAACGAAGCTTTGCTCTCCATCTAGTGGCCAAAATGATGAATATGCTTTAATATTTCATTTTTTAAATTCCCTCCGTTTTACATTTCTTTGTTTTCATTTCTCCCTTAATTTATGTTGCTATTTTTTATTTTGTTACGTTATCTGCAGAAACTCCACAAATACAAAAGTACAAATATTTGTTATTATTTTTATCGAAAACTGGATATTACATACTGAAAAGATGAAAGATCTATGAATCATATGCCTATATTTTAATTAAAGGGGTGTCATAATGAAAACATAAAACAGCTTTTAGCAGCATATTTTAAAAACCACATAGACGATGTAAATGGCCATATTTCATATATACCTGTAAATTTGGAAGATTTAGACAGATTAGTTTAATAATCTATATTAATAGAAAACTGAGATGTGTGATGGAAATGTGCGTATGATAATGTGATCGCTTCTAGTATCATTGATAAAAAAACAGATAGTAATATTGTGATTGTTAATCTATAATAATGATTTACATTTATGTGAATTTATGACATTTATGGCATCTGTTCGTGGAATATTCATTAATATTTCATTTAATTTGGTGTATATATTTTGAATATTGGAATATGAATATTGGGAGATTGGGAGATGTTGTATTCTGTAAAGATGAAAATATGTGTGGTCTATTTGTTTAGTGACTGTAAAATGAAGCTTTGCTTATCAATGCTCTCTTCTGAACTGGGATTCTTTCAATATGGTCTACGCCGAGGCCATCTGTACGCCAAAACGATGAATATTCTTCAAAATTTGAATCTGTAGAGCAGGGTTGGGCAATGTCG